TAAATAGTTTTAACTTTGGAACTGCTCTCTCTCTCTCTCTCTCTCTCTCTCTCTCTCTCTCTCTCTCTCTCTCTAACTATGGGGTTCCTGCCAGTTTCAACACACACAACCCCGGTCGAGCTGGGTGGGGATGGGATTCCTAGGAAAAGCACCTGGACTCTTAATTCCCCCAACAATAACAATGGATGTTCTAAGGCCTTACTTTTAAGGGGCCCCCCCTTTAAAAAAAATGCAGAGATACCATGGAATGGAAACTTTTAAGAATATTACGGCTAATCTTGAGAGGAAAGATTTCTGGTGCCTTCCAGTCCTGTTGTTTCAGTGTTCCAATCATAAATTCTAGCTCATGGGATACAAACTGAATCAAAATAAATGGATTTATGTTCAAGTAAATATGGTTAGACTTTGGCAATGTTATCAAAATGTTCTTAACAATCATGTGTGGGCTGCGGAAATTAATTTAGTTTTAGGAATTTATGTTCTACTACCATAAAATAAGATATCCAGTATGATCCTATGCATGTTTCCTCAGCAACATTCAGTAGGATTTACGGAGCAATCTGATGGAGGTTTATTCCAAAGAAATCCCATTGTATTCAACAGTTCTTGCTCTCAAGTAAGTGTGAATAGGATTGCCACTTAATCCTTAATATGTATTTAGGATTGTAGCCTACCTTCTTTACTCAGTTACTAATTACACTGTGGGATTTACTGCCAGTGGACATGGTGATGGCCACGAGCATAAAGGGCCTTAAAAGGTGCCGTCACGGCTCAGGTGAGGTGTCACCTGACGCTGCCACCACTCTGGTTTTAGGATCCCTTGAAAAGACCCAGAGCACCCTGCTAAGACCTTCAGACCTCCCTTATTTGGCCAAATAATAGGCGCGAGGACCAGGCAGAGTAAACAACAAATAAAAAGTTTATTTTTACAGGGGGTCAGCCCAATATGGGAAACAAACAAGGTGCAAGAACAATAACAATAAGTGGGTGAAGAGAAAATAAACCAAATGCCCTAACGCGACTAAACTCACAGTCCCTAGTCCACTGTCTCAGTTGGGCCTGAGTCTACTCACCCTTCCACTCATGGTGAGGGTCTCTCCCAGCAGCAGCCTTCCTTCTGGCCCTGATCTCTTGGAAGAAAGAACAGCTCTTCTTCTGTATCAGCTCTTTTATTATACGTCCCCTTTCTCTTTGATTGGCTAAAATTGGCGCCAAAACCTCTCAGAGACTTCTGGGAGTTGTAGGCCTGGCCTCCTCCCACTGCTACTCAGGCTCCCTGGGCCTGCTAGGCCTTTACTTGCACCATCCAGATCATGACAGGTCCCTAGACAGATTTATGGAGGAGAGGCCTATCAATGGCTGCTATCCATGGTGGCTAAAGGGGACCTTCACGTATGTAGGCATCAAGCTTCTGAATACCAATGCTAGGACACAGCATCATGGGAAGGCCTTAGCTTCTGACTGGCCACTGTGTGAAGAAGTATGCTAGACTAGATGGACCAGTGGTCTGATCCAACAGGCTATATTTAAATGAGTCATTGCTGTGCAATGTCAAGGTTTCTTGGAGGAGACTGATTATTGGGATTCATTTCAACCCGGCTCCTGGCCCATTGTTGGAACTGAAATGCTCTTAGTTGCCCTGATGACCTGTACAGAGTCAGTATCTCTCTGGAACTCAATCAGGACTGTCCTTCTGGAGTGATATGCTATGAGTGTCGAGGACATTGCATTCTAGTGGTTATGTTCCTACTGGGACAGCAGGTAATCAACTTTAGATTGAACTATAAGGCATACAGAATACAATGCATATACCCTTAATCTTAAAAAAATTAAAACACTTGGCCTTCACAAATAACTAGTAACAGTATCAGCCCTGTGCTTTTTAACACCTACGTGAAATTTCTGGAAGAGATCATGCAAGGATTTGCATTCTAGTGGTTATGTTCCTACTGGGACAGCAGGTAATCAACTTTAGATTGAACTATAAGGCATACAGAATACAATGCATATACCCTTAATCTTAAAAAAATTAAAACACTTGACCTTCACAAATAACTAGTAACAGTATCAGCCCTGTGCTTTTTAACACCTACGTGAAATTTCTGGAAGAGATCGTGGAAGGATTTGGAATGAGTTGTCATCAGTATGGAGATAACACACAACTTCACTTCTGCTTTTCATCAGTGTCAGGGGAGACACTTAACGTTCTGAACAAGTGCCTGGAAACAGTAATCTGCTGGATGAGATCCAATAAATAGAAGGTCAATCCAGATTTTTTATTTTTTTATTTGATTTATACCCCACCCTCCTTGCCAGAGCAGGGAGATAAGACTGAGACATTCAACAATATCGCCAAACAGATACTGAGGACACAGCCATTTCTGGATGGGGTTATGTTCTGAAAGGGCAGGTTTTTGTGATATGAGATGCTGTTAAATCCTGGTCTTCAGATGGAACTGCAGAGAGCCTTTGTGCCTTTGGTGAGCTTCAGCTGATCTGCCAGCTGTGGCTCTCCCTGGAGAAGCACAATTTGGCCATGCTCTGCTCACCTCCCACCTGGCTGGTGTAATGGGCTGTACAACATGGGGCTGCCTCTGACTGACAGTTCAGAAGCTTCAGTTAGTACAAAATACAGCATTGGGACTTGCTGGCCTGGGTTACAGGGCATCTATCTTGCCAGCTTCAAGAGAACTACATGAGGTGCTATCAGGACCCAGTTCTGGTAGCTTGGTTCTTACTTTTAAAAGAGTAAATGGCCCGTGATCAGGAAATTCGAAGGTCAGCCTTCTCCTGTATATGCCTGCCAGCCAACTATGACCATCTTCACAGCCCTTGCTCAATGTCCCCGCCCTGAGGAACTATGGTGGGTAGTTACAAGGAATCACTGAAGTGTCTTGACTTTGGAAATCTTTTCCATGGTGTTGAATCAGATATAGTTCTAGCACTGGGTTATAGCATGCTTTTTTAAAAACCTAGACCTTTTCCGGACTGTTTTGGTTGGCACTCACCTCCATTTGTTTTGTTTTATGATCTTTTATCATTTATGATCTTTTATCATTTATGATCTTTTATCATATATTCTGTTTAATTGGTTCTGCTGACCCTCATGAGATTATTATGCTGTCTGTTCTATTTATACATGTTGTTTTCTTTTTTGTTTGTTTGGCTGCTATCTCTTTTTAGATATTTTTAGTGCTGGCTGCTTTTTAAGAGAATTCTGATCATTGACTCCTGCTGCAATGTTGCTTTTATGCTATGATCATGTTTATATTGAATAATTTTGACCCTGAACTTTAAAAACACAAAGGTATAGTTTGACCCAAAGATTGACTTTCACAGGGCCCCTTTCTTGATTGCCACATTATGGAATTCTCTCCCACCCCTACATGCAGGGGACCTGTCTATCTCATCATTTTCCTCCCCCATTAAAGTTTTGATTTATAAGCAGTATACATTTCAAATTAAAATGATGAGATTTCTTCAGGTACACCCTGAATCCTTAATGTGTGTGTTCTTTTGTTTTTTGTTTACAAAATGCCCTGTGGCCAGTTGTCTTACATGAATGAAGATGGATATAAATAGTGATTGAATAAAGATAAAGGTCAATAAAGGTGCCTATAAATAAGTATTGACTTATTTTTCCAAATAATTACACTGATTATCTTTAAAAGACTAAAGAATGGGGCATACACAAGCTACTGCCTGAGGCCATCTACCACTATTTGAGGTTCTCCCATTTCAGGCCTGGTATTTTTAACATTCTGAAGTTGTTAGGGAGGTGAGCTTGGAAACATATGGGCTGTGCATGCTGAAGCCTGAGAAACTCATAGTGTGCATCCAGCAAAAGTAAATTGAATTTGTGCCCTCTGTTGGGACAAACTGAAATACTGTTGTTTTAGTGGGATTGAGTTGTGACTCACTTTTGGTAGATTGTACCCAGGAATTTGTTGGTACTCTGGTCAGTTTTTTCCCTTCCTTAGGACTACTGTTTCTTATCCCCTGCTGTCAGCCCCATGCACTACTTTCCCTTCAGACTACATGGCCAGGGTCCGACATACCTGAGGGACCGCCTTTCCCCATACGAACCCTCAAGAGCACGTTGGTCTGGGACGCAACATCGCCTGGTGATTCCAGGCCCCAGGGAGGCAAGGCTTGCCGCAACTAGGGCCGGATCCTTTTCAGTAGTGGCTCCTACCTGGTGGAATGAGCTCCCAGAGGAAATCAGGGCCCTGCGGGACCTCATACAGTTCCGCAGGGCCTGCAAGACAGAGCTCTTCCGCCAGGTTTTTACGTAGGAGCTGCCACTACCACCACCACCAATGGCGTGGGTAACAACTAGGCAAGAGGACGGCCCTTGAAGATCTGCCATGATACCGCGCTGGGTGGGTACCACTGGACTGGCCGTGTACCAGCTACAGGACACTATGTACCTCCAATGAAAGATCCAGCATTTACCATTGGAAAACCATCTTGTTCTTTATTGAGCATCTTTTGTGATTCGATTATTTTATTCTGTTTTAATCTGTTTTAATCTTGTTTTATATGATAAATAAATTGCCCTTTTGTAAGCTGCCTGTCCCCCACTCGGGGGGAGGGTGGGGTAAAAATACTAATAAATAAATAAATAAATGATGCTGCCCTTCAAATAAGCTAGGTGCATTCCAGAATGCCGCCAGGCAGTGCTTAGCGGAACACTTAAATGATGGGTCTTGATTGAATGCAGATCCTGATTGGTTGTACATCTGTGATGTAAAAGAAAATAAGATGTTATCATATTTGAGGAAAATCCCAAGGCTCAAGTCAATTTTAGTCTGATTCAAGTAATTGTCCTAACATGTTTCTAATAATGCAGTATTCATCACTTTTTATAAAGCTGATGATCTGATAGATTAAATGAGTGCTTTCAAGTAAATGTGTATAGGAGCTGTTGTGGCATAAAGATAATTTACCAGGCAGAATGACTTAGTATTTTTGTTTTTCTTTCTCCTTGCCACTGCTAGTCCTGGACACTGCAGGCCAGGAAGAATTCAGCGCAATGAGGGAGCAGTACATGAGGACAGGAGATGGGTTTCTTATAGTCTATTCCGTCACAGATAAAGCCAGCTTTGAGCATGTGGACAGGTTCCATCAACTTATCCTCAGAGTCAAAGACAGGTAGGTGCACTAGAGGGAGCTTTCAACTCAAGATAATATTGCTGGTGAGCACTTGCCTTGGCGTTCCATCATGAGATAATTTGCTTGTATGGCTTTTGGGAAAGATGTCATTAATATGCATCTTGTTCTGAACCTCAGACATTGTCATATGTTTTCTATAAAGATTGTTTTTGTTTAATTGTTTTTAATAACCAGTTGGCTTTTAATCCATTCATATGTTAAATTTTAATACATTTGTATATTAGCAAAACCTTAATATAGTAGACCTTTAAAAATACCAAAGAAACACCTTTAGGTTTCATAGGTATGAGAAGCTATACAATTTAATAAGCAAATGCTGTCACAGAGAGATTAGTTCCTACCAGCTTTCATGTTGAGTGAAAGAGGAAGGAAGAGTTACTTTTGAACAACACGTGGAAAGATGACAGCAGTGAGAAAGGGAATCAAGGAAGATTAAGCAGAAAAACTGGTATTATCCAACCCATTGTTAAAATAAAATCACTTATAATGTTTTATTATTGACTAGGAATAAGGCCCGTTGTGGAAATAAATACAGTGAGCTCTAGAAAGAGGCTCTGGATGGGTGCCGTGGTCTTGGGCACTCAGCATCAATTTGCTATGGCAACCTCAGCAGGGTATAATGACACAGAGCTTACCGTTATCTCCAGGGCAACTGATCTTTGCCATCTGAAGAGCAGTCGTAATTCTGAGTGATCTCCAGGGGGCCCCCCCAGAGATTGGCAACAATGGTTCCCCAGGAGGAAATGTCAAGTTTGGAGGGTAGAGTCTATGGCATTGTACCTGTCTTGGAATTAGCAACCCTATCTCCTTCCCAGCCAACCATCAACGTACTGTTATCTACCCCTCTGGCTTCAGCTTTCCATCTCTCTCTCTCTCTCTCTCTCTCTCTCTCTCTCTCTCTCTCTCTCTCACACACACACACACACACACACACACACACACACACCACCCAACCACCATCCTCAGTGGGGACCCAAGCAGGGGACGTGACATCAGCAGGGTATAGTGACTCAGAGTCCACCCTGCAAAGCAGCCATTTTCTCCAGGGGAACTGATCTCTGCCATCTGGAGAGCAGTTTTAATTCTGAGTGGTCTCCAGCCCTTGATCCATCAGATCAAGCGTGTGTCTGGCCCGGTGAGTGGGGGGCATTACAAGTTGGGAGAGTCCTAGGGCCACTATGGACGACACTAGGTCTGCTGCCTGAGTAGAGGCCACGTCATCGGCATGGACATTGAAATCACCCAAGACTGAACTCCAGACTCTATCTCCATGTGTTTATCTGAGGCACGCTCCTGTTGGGTTTTCATTGGCCATAGTTTACATTCTTCATCTTGTGCTGGTCTCCTCCCCGGCAGAGAGATTGCTGTAGCTTGCTAGGAGACAAGGAATGCACTCAGACAAAATTCCCATTGAAGCACTTTTTGCATCTCCTTACTCGCTCCTGGTATGAACAACGTTTGAGTCCAGTGGCACCTTTAAGACCAACAAGCACACTTCTTCAGGTATCTGTAACATGCAAAGTATTCTCTACACATTTAGGGCCAGACTGCATTACTGGGGCAATTATTTTGGAACTAAACATTATCGTGTTTATCCTGGTCCTAATCTGATACAGGTCTCCAATTAAAAAGGAAAATGAGACATAGAGAGAGAATCTTAAAAGAAACAATCCTTATTCCCCTAGCTATATACAAGGCTAGAAGGATGTAACATTAGAGAAGCATGTAGGTATTTATGTCCTGGGCTTGGAGATGAAGGCCTTGCTGGAAACAAGAATCTTCTGATAGTATCCATACAGAATTGTATAATTGTACATACAAATATATAATGTTAGAATTGAGTACATCTGCTACATAATTTGGAAGCATAGTTTGAGAGCATGATCTTGTTTGGGTGGTAAAATTCCCTCTAGCTCTTTGAAACTGTCTGACAAAAAAGGACACTGTGTTTAGAATTCACAGCATTGAATATCTAGATTCCTGAATGAGAGGGAGTGAAAGAGGGAGAGGAATAGCGGTGTCACTCAAAATGTATTCTTGTGGGCTGTTGGTGTGATGAGGTATACCTTGTGGGCTGTAGGTGTGATGAGGATTTTGAACAAGTTTTGGTAGATGTTACTGAGATTGCAAAAGAGCTAGAAATACTACCAAACTTTGTGACAGAACAAAGACAAAGGAGACAGAAAAAAAATTTAGCAATTTCAAATTTTGTGTTTTTCATTCTTCCTAAAATGCATTTATGTTTGAAAATTGGTGGGCGCATGGGGGGGTGGGCAGAACTTAGCCTCGCCTGGTGTGCAAAAAACCTGATCCCGGCCCTGCCCACACCCTACTCTGATGTGTGCAAGAAGCCAGGCCTAGTTGAGTCATGCAAGTCAGGTGATATCAAGTCACCCAGAGGTTGCTTCCAGGCCTAGGGTTGCCAGCCTTCAAGTAGGACCTGGACATCTCCCACAATTACAACTGAGCTCCAGATGACAGCGATCTGTCCCCCTGAAGAAAACAACTGCTTTGGAGGTGTTAAGTCAGCCACTTAACAAAGAGTCAGAGAGCGATTCAGCAACTCGTAACTCAACTCCAACAGATCAACTCAAATAGCCAGAACAGCTTTTACATTGAAGCTGTTCTACTTTTAAACTCTCCCGGCTAATGTAGCCACACCCTATTATACAATATCAACCAATAAGATTGTAGGGATAAGGTCCTATCACAATAGTTGGCCGCTCAGGGAACTTGATGGGTATGCGATTGGTCGGCTCTTCCTGGGCTACCAATAGGGATTGTAAGATTAGGATCCTTGCCCAGGATGAAGCTTAGCATGGTGCTTCAATTAGGTGATTCACATGCATACAGTTGAATACACCACAGGAGGGTGGACTCTATGGCATTATATTTGGCTGAGGCCTCTCCCCTGCCCAAACTCTGCCTTCCTCAGACTCCACCACAAAATCTCCAGGAATTTCCCAACCTGGAGCTGGCAAACTTAGGCCCAGGTCTGGCCATAATGAGTCCTTCCTCAAAGGCCAAAATAGGCCTGGAAAAGGCCCACTCTTTGCCTTTTACTGACAGAACCCAGTCTGGAATACTGTGGTTGCCTAGCAATAGCCAATGAGGGAATTTGTTACTTAAAGCCACAGGTGTTCCTTTTATACTTTTTGGGTTTTTTTTAAAGCTGCCCAGCTTTTTTGGGAGGGCGGGTTGTTTGTTTGTTTAGATTGCACATTTTTCTCCAAACCTATGGCCATTTTCAGGTTTGTAGAAAGATCTGTCTTAGCCATTCATCACTCCAGTCACCCGGTTTAAGTATCCAAAGACATCCCAACTTCACTATTAGAATATAAGATAATGCTTCTCAAAATGCTATTTTTGTTACACTGTATGTGATTCTTTGCTCAAGTGATGCTTTTTTTTTGTCATTGCAGCAGTAGAATTAACATTAACTGACAAAGTATTAAATAATTTTCTTCCAGAGAATCCTTTCCAATGATTTTGGTGGCTAACAAAGTTGATCTAATGCATTTACGAAAAATCACTCGGGAGCAAGGAAAAGAAATGGCAGCAAAGCACAATGTATGTCCTTGGGGTTTTTTTCAATGCTATTTTGTCTGTTTCTATATTACTTTGGCTATTGTATGATTAATAGAAATGGCTGCAGTTTAAAGGAGGACATTTTTGGGGGGGAGGGGGATTACTAAACACCCTTGTGAAGTTCATGATATTTCCATGTAGAAGGGACATCATCAGAGACAATCATCTACTGTGGTTGTGATGTGTGTGTTGACCGTGTGGTACATTCTGTAGCAGTGGGACAAGGTTTTATAAGGGAAGGAGGCAGAGATACGGATATGCTCTGTTATGTATTGAGGAGCCTAAGCCTTTCCTCTAGCTGTACCTAGAACGGGCTGAGCTTGCTTCTCTAGAACAATAGCTCGCCTGGATCCAGGAGCTAACCAATAGATAAGCAGTGTAATGTAAATAGCCTATCACTGGGAGTGGGTGTGTGTGGTATTTTGCATGCTTATAAGCAGGGCTCCAGCCCTGCTAGCTTGTCTTGTAGTTTGCTGAAATCACCTAATAAACCAGAGCTGATCACTGCAATGCATCCAGAACCAAGTATTTAACATGCTCAGTCTCCTTCCAATCTTTGCCCCATCCTGAGACATACTGGTTGTGGGGCTAGGAAGGTTTACCCTTCTCCGACATTGATGTTGTGCAATGTTAGGTCTATCAATAATAAGACCATGACCCTGCAAGATTATAAAATAAAGTCAACAAATCTTGATAGACTTACTTTAGGATTCTGAGAAAGAATCAATAGAGAGATATGTGTGGTTCACAATAACCTGGAATTACATAGTTGAGATTTTTAGGTAACAGATTCAAAGCCCGGTTCCGGTAAGATGGCATTATCATAAATGCTGCCTACGTGGACCACCAGCCTTCTTGAGAGAGCTGCATGGTCTCAGTGCATGGATAAGATGAAAGGTTTAGATTTGATAGGCACTGGGAAACATTTAGAGGCTGCAGTGGCTCAAGTGGTTAAGATGCTGAACTGCAGACTAGAAGGTCGGTAGTTCAGCAGTTTGAGACCCAAGTGCCGCATGACAGAGTGAGCTCCCATCTCTGGTCCCAGCTCCTGCCAACCTAGCAGTTCGAAAGCAAGAAATTGCAAGTAAATAAATAGGTACCACTTCGGTGGGAAGGTAAACAGCGTTCCGTGCGCCTTGGCGTCTAGTCACGCCGGCCACATGACCACGGAGAAGTCTTCGGACAGCTCTGGCTCTTCGGCTTGGAAATGGAGATGAGCACCGCATCCCTAGAATCGGATTTGACTGGCTTTCGAGCAAGGGGAACCTTTACCTTTATCTAGGAAACATTTGGAGACCAGGGAAACATCTATTAAAAGAGAAGGGCTATATTTTAATGGTATCTTTTGTATTCTAATACCAGTATTAAACAGTGTGTGTCTTCTTTAAGAATGTTATGTGTCATTCTAAATACCCATCTTAAAAGCAGTATATAGTAGATCCAATGAAGGTTGCATACAATGGCAACTTAAATGATCAGGGGAGAAAGAAAGGAATTTGGGCTTTTTGCTTAAATGAAACATCATTGGGATGAATTACAGAAGTTCATATAATTACAAACTGTGTAGAGAGAAAAATATTTTTCTGTTTCAAAATACTTTATTTCAGTGTCATCCGGTTAACTGGAGTCCATAGGTTGAGGGGGAAATAGAATACTCTTATATGCTGCAGAGAAATTGTGTGCTTGTGTTACTTCGGGGTGAACCAGTCAGGGGTTTATATGCATGTATGTCCTTATATATCTTTAGCAACTCTGTACCTTTGAAATGATAAAATTATTTCGGTCTCATTGCCATGGTCTGGATGTTCTGGACCTCTTTGTAAGGGCTTACCTATACAAACTAATATATATACCCCCTTACAAAGAGGCTGTTAAATGCCACTCTCTCTACACAGGAAACAATGGGAACTTTTATTGCGTGTGCATATGTTAGCTGTCTCTAGGGACCTCTAATCGTCTGTACCAAACTGTTATTTCCTAGCCTGTATTCCCTGACAAATAAAACTGATAGACCATTGTACAGATATATCCCTAGATGGCTTTAAAGATATATTCTTAGAATATTTTTTGCCATTTTCTGCCATGCAGAATCTCAGAAGATCTTGGAAGCTAAGCAGGGTCGGCCCTGGATAGTATTTGGATGGGTTGCCCTCAAGAAAGTCCGGGGTTGTGACGCAAAGGCAGGCAATGGCAAACCTCCTCTGAATATCTCTTGCCTTGAAACCCCTACAAAGCAGCCACAAGTTGGCTGTGACTTGATTGCACTTTCCACCACCAAGAAGATTGTAGTGACACCCCTGAGCCTGTTACCCATACTCTGTCACAAATGTTACATATCCCACATTGTAGCAATTTTATGGTTTGCTTATTGCCTGTGGACTGTTTTTAATATCTTTTTAGGCTGCTCAGTGTTTGGTTTTTATGCCCTGGCTTGTTTTTATTGGCTTTGTCTTGTTTTAATGGTCTCACTTTATTGTTTTCAGTTGCAGGCTGACTCAAGGAGGTCTTTGGAGAGGCAGTAATTTTTTTTTGGGGGGGGGAATAAAAATTAAATAAAGAAGTTTAAATTTCAGTGAATAGCATTGTCATTTATCTGAGGTTTCTTTTCTGCCTTGTCTCACCTGTTAAAGGAATACTGTTCCTTAGTTAGTACACTTAGTACAAACCACATTTGTTTCTTCTATAATGGGATCTCTTCTGCACATGCAAATGTTTCCTTTAACTTGAATTTCTGCAAAAGGTGTTTTTGTACAATATGTATTTAAAAGTTACTAGTCTTTGTTTTCCAGATTCCATACATAGAAACCAGTGCTAAGGACCCTCCACTGAATGTTGACAAAGCCTTCCATGATCTTGTTAGAGTAATTAGGTAAGCCATTCTATGATTGAGTTGGCCATGGTTTGGAAGACATTCATGACTTAATCTAGCACTTTCAAAAGTAAGAGCTTGCTCCTATTACACCAGTTTTAATATAACACAGTTAGAAGGCTTCATCTTCATTTTACACTTCGCTTGTGCATATTTGTATCTTTGTGTAAGCTAGGGATATAGACTTTAGATAAGTCCTGGGGCACATCAGTTTGATCTCTAAGCCACAAACATTGCACATGATCAATACATTAGTCTAGCTTCATATGAGCTTGGTCAGTTGAATTCTGGTTGTGATTTCATGGAATATAAGCTTTGTAATGTTAGCAACTCATTTCCGTGCACTTCTTTTAGCTCAGGACACTCTGAAAGCTTAGCTGGTGATCCAAGGCTGTTTCCAGAGATGGTCAAAGGAGGAGTGAATTTCTAGTTTCAGGGTACCCTTTCTGCCCCATGCTGTCTTTTGTGGAATCTTTGTGCATCTGCTGGCAATTCTAGAACATGTTCTAGTATGCACTTCTAGTTTTCATAGATCTTTAAGCCTTGCCGTTATCTCCAATGAAACTGAGAGTACATTCTGGAACTTGGTCAATGTTCCCCTGTGGCTGAAGATTACAAGGAAATGCTGTTAGTGGTGGGAAAATGACTTTCAGGAATGCTTATCTGAAATTATTTGTAGACTCGGGATCCCCAGGTGTTCACAGCTTAAAAACCTCTAATATGGAGTCATGATTATTTGTAAAATGAGATGTGCTAGGTATCCATCTGATCTGGAAGCTCTGATACCTACCTTTAGATGTGTGTACCGGCAGTGGGTATTTATTTGGAAGAGGAGACAGGGAAGGCAGTGGGGGAATTGACTGAAGGGCTTTGGTAGACGCTTATAGAAAAGTTCCTCCACAACTGCCAATACTCTTTTTAAGCACTAAGTGCTTTAAATCATTTTAAAATGTGTTAGTTTGAGGCACTTCCTAAAAATATGAGTTTTAAAGGCAACTTGAATGTGCCAATGGCCCAGTATATGTTTATCTTTGTACCAAATCCCATGGACAGATACCACTACCTTGAGCAAATTCAATGAAACATTTAGGTTTTATTTCAGATATCACATGAAGCCATGGCTTAATTAACTAAATATGGCTAGTGAATTGTCCAAACAGAGGCCACCCCACTAACCATGGGGATTGCTCCTGCGATCCAGAAGCTGAAACAATGCTTGGATTTGATTTATTTTTTCTAACATTTTTATTTTTGAATTTGAAATCACAACACATTTACAATAAGAGGAGGATCCTGAAGTAACAAAAAGGACCTACTGTAGATGAGTTTTATTAACCTTACTTAGTCTTAACAGTGATTTTGGTTGATGCATGAATGCAGACATCCTGGCTTGTTCTTCAGCACCGCTGTATGCACACTCTGGCTACTAGAGTCTCCCTGACCATGTCCTTTGTTCACAGTCAACCCAGGGCTCTTTTTGTAGAAAAAGCCCAGCAGGAACTCATTAGCATAATAGGCCACACCCAACAGCAGGAACTCATTAGCATATTAGGCCACACCCCTGACAGCACAGCTCATTAGCACATAAGGCCGCACCCCCACGTTACCAGAAGTGTGGTCATCCAGCCACACCCACCTTTTGCTTGTTATTCTGTTTACCTTGTTTGTGGTCAAAACCCAGGGCCTTTTTTTTTGTAGCAGGAACTCCTTTGCATGTTAGGCCACACACCCCTAATGTAGCCAATCCTAATGAGTTTCTGCTGTTGGGTGTGGCCTATTATGCTAATAAGTTCCTGCTGGGCGTGGCCAACTTGGGAGCCAGCCGGAACTCCGTTCCTGTGTGTTCTTGCCCAAAAATAGCCCTGAGTCAACCCAACAACACCCAAGTATTGAATCACACTATTCCTGGCCAGTGCATTATCTCTGCCTACACCCTCTTAAAGATCCAGGAAGACTGCCATGCTCATATACATAAACAGGGAGAAAAGCAAAGGCCGTGCCATTGGATCCTTGACTTGCTTAATCCCAGCAGTTAATGAAAACGTTTTATTTACAATTCTTCACAGAGACAAAGTCTCTGGAATTTTGTGAGAGAGGCTGGAGGGAAAACAAGCAGGATAGGTAGTCCACGTATCTTCCTGTCCAAGGCCCCGTGCCACCTTGTCTTTGGGTGGTATATAAGGCTGCCAATAATGGAATGATACCTTTGGGATGGGGGCTAACTGTTAGACCCTGGGCTGTCAGTGTGAGTTGGGGGGGCATTTAAATTAAGGGTGGGAGATGGGCTTCCTTGGGCTTGGTATGAAAAGCCGGGCAGTTTTGTTTACAAACGCTTGAGGAAGGGGAGTGGATCTGTGGCTGCTTGCCATGCCGAAAGCTGCCAAAGATTCCCAAGAATGTGAGTGTTCACAATGCTGCTAGCCAATGATGAGGGAGTTGATGATGTGGCAAATCTTTGCCCTCAATTGGGTGCTGCAGTGCGGTCCAGAATACCTGCTGAATATATTAGCAGGAAGTGGGAGGAAAAAATGAAAGCCCTGAAGCTAGGATTTGTTGTGACAAATGAGGAATGATTATCTTTGTCAAATCCAGTTTCACAAACTAACCTACTGCTGTTAAATTAAATCACAGTGTCACATAATGTCTGAAGAGAACCTTTGGAATTTGTGCTTAGAGAAGTATTGAAATTGTGCTTAACTTGCTTTCTATTGAATTCCATTTTAATATGCTTGGAAATGTGTGTGTCTTAGGATGCACCTCAAGTTTCCATTACTCTTATTCGTGTCTCTGCATCTAGTATTCTTCTTTTGGCAAAATTCTAGAGCTACTAGTGGCCTTTCTCCATTTCAATGTAGTTTTTTTTTTACTTCTTCTCTTCCCACTAAGTTAAGAAATCATTGCCAGTTCACTTTAGAAACCACTGTGGTGGACTGAATAAACCACGAACCTATCCCGTCTGTGTTAGTTTTGTTTCCCCCTTCATTGCTATGGAGTTTCTCCAAGAGTCAGCCAGTTTCTCTGCGGAGCTCTGGCAGTAAAGAGCTCAGGGGGCGGGCACGTGCAACAAGCCCCACCCCCTGCTCCCAGCAGCCCCAGTCAGAGCAAGAAGCAGCCAGGTAAGTTGCAGAGCACCCCCCCCAGCCCAAAACAGTCCAATGGCACCTTTAAGACCAAGTTTTATTCAGGTACAATCTCTCCCTCCTCTGCGAGGACAGATCTGTACGTTCCACACACACACACACCCCAATAGCTAGCAATCCAGAACAGTCCAGTGGAGCCTGAGCGGTGGGTGTTGCCTTCTGATACACTTCCAGTGATGTCAGGGGGTATGGCATATGCAAATAAGTTATGCAAATAAGTTATGCTAATGAGCTCCTGCACCTCTTTTTCTACAAAATGACCCCTGGATCCATCCCCCCCAGCTCATTCAGATGTCTCTTTTGATACATTCTGCATTTTTTACCCCTGTCATAAGCAGGGCTGCAGCTTGACTGGGGGGGGGATCTTCTTTTACACTGAAAGTGGAAAGAAGTCGCAAAGTGATTAGAAGCCGTTATGTGTCATTGGATGGGACCCCGATCAGCTTTTCCACTGATGAGAAGGGAAGGAGGCGCTCCCCCTTTTACTACCAAAAAGGCTATGTTGGGGATCATAAGACCTGCATGGACAAAAGCCGTGTGAGCTGTAACAGGGAGGGGAGTTAGGAAGACTGAGTGGAAAACCTGGCAGGAGCCAACTCATTGGCCCTTTTCCGCACTCTCCTTTTAATCCATGTTCACTGCAGTGTCCTCCAAGCAATTCTGCACTCAAATCAAATTCAGCCTTCTTTTTATTCCGGGCCTTTTCGCCATCCTTGCATTACGTTCCCTCCCTTCAGTGGCCAGCCCGGTTTCAGCCTGCTGTTGCCCCAGGCTATTTGGATGCTGTTTTGCCCTGGACTTTAAACTGCCTCACCTCAAGCACTGAGAAAATCCAGAGTGGCAGGCAAATGTGGAAAGGACCATTGTCCTTCCAGTGCGTATAGATAGTTCTGCTTTCACTGAGCTCAGTAAGCGGATAATCCCCCTGATCCATTTACAGAGTATACAAATAAAGAAACGTTATGCATAATTGCAGTCATTCTCCCAAGAAGCACTGGAAATAGTTGAAAATGAAATGCACGGTGTCGCCTTCCTAACAATTAGTGCTTTGCTGATCTGAATGTCTACTTTTCAGAAAAGCAGGTGGCACTGCCCACTCTTCTTAGATCATCTCATCTGGCAGAAAAAACACATGGTGGGTGGGTGGGGTGAAGCAGATTGGGGAGTACAAATGAAAGCTGGAGTCATTCCATATTGTTTTCTAATCATTTTCCCCATCAGTAAGCTTTGCACCAAGGATCCATCATCATTAAACCTTCATCGCTCAGTCCTTTAAAACCTGCATCAGCCATAGAAGCATTCACGGTGTTTTTGCGAGTGTCGTAGCGCTGTTCAGTTCTGCCCAAGGAAATCTTCTGCTAGGATCCAACTCCCACTTATGCTAAGGAAACTGATTCATGCATTATTCGGCTTGTCCTTCTCTAAGAAACTGTTGGTTCCCAGTGGTGTGAGGCAGGGGTCATTTCATAGAAAAAGAGGTGCAGGCGCTCATTAGCATAACACATTAGCGTACCTTATCTGCATATGCCACACCCCCTTACATCACCGGAAGTGTGTCAGAAGGCAACATCCACCGCTCGGGCTCCACTGGACTGTTTTGGATTGCTAGCTAAACCGGGAGGGGGGGCGCGGATCTGCCCTCACAGAAGAGGGAGAGTTTGTACCTGAATAAATCTTGGCCTTAAAGGTGCCACTGGACTCTTTTGGATTGCTATCTATGGGGGGGGGGCTCTGCAACTTACCTGGCTGCTTCTTGCTCCTTGTGGCCCAGGGCTGCTGGGAGCAGGGCTTGTTGCATGTGCCCACCCCCTGGGCTCTTTACTGCCAGAGATCCGCTCCTGTACGCTCCCGCAGGAAATG